TGCTCTTTCTTTTACAGCAAGACAATTGGAATTTGAAATTGTATTGAGCCCTTCTATAAGAAAGTTGCTGTCTACTCCGCAATCTCACTCTTCCTTATATATATACATTAAGATTTGTGCAAGCCTATTTATTTGATCGAATGTATGAAGACCAATATGATGCTTGACCTTTTTATGGTCTCAGCCTCATTTCGTCATATAGTTATTATTTGCCCTTGTTTTCGCAACTTGGGCGTATTGGAAGGACGGCCTAGAGCAACGCACATTGTTCGGAGTCCATAGTATGCATGATAAATTCCAGAATCGGACCGTGTACTTGGTACATTCCGAGACGTTTCGCCGGCATCGTAAGTAAGCCTTGCCAGTCTTAGCACCACTACAACTCGCCAAAGAGACGAGTGAATTAGATCCTTTGAGTAATTATCTGCTAACTACTTGCGGTATCTCTCCTTATGTCCTGAGCTAGTCACCTATCCTATATCCTCTCACCACCTCTTCACTATAACAATTTCATGAGACCTCTTTGCACCCTAAGCTGGCTTTCTCACCCCACCCCCTTACCATTATTTTGGGAACGTTGATCTGAGCCTGCCATATTATTCCGCCATTGTCTTCCTATAAGGCCTATCAGATTCTCCCTCTTGCGCCTTTGACCCTTGCCACCCTATCTCTGCTATTCGATGCTTTATTTCCCAGACTCTTCCTTAAGTCTTTGATAGCACATATACTCCCGCCTGGCTTAGTAGGCCAATAAAGTCTCATCATCAAGCTTTTGCTTCATAGACCACATCTATGATAAAATACATCTACTGTTAGCCAACCAGCTCTAGTCTCCGCCGAATCTATCGTGCTTCCATCCATTATGGCACGTCTATGACCTCCTATACCCTAGTCTCTTGTGTCCCAACCCACAAGTGATGTAGTTCTACTTGCTTTTATTAGGCTCACTCTAGAACCACGACATTTATAGGTCGGCGCACAAGAGACTAGGGTATAAGAAGTAATAGACTTGAAAATATGGATGGAAGCACGATAGATGCGGTGGAGACTAGAGCTGGTTGGCTAATAGTAGACATGTTTGATGAGACTTCGTCGGCCTACTGAGCCAGACGAGAGTATATGTTGTGGTTCTACTTGTATTTATTATGTCCAATGTATACTTTTTTGTTTACAACTGCTGGCAATCTCAAACATAATCAGTACATTTGCTCCTTGAATAATCAATAGCATATTTTTTATCGAAATTTCTATTTTTCCAAGATTGAAGGTTATGTAAATGAGAGTAACTACCTATTTTAAAATGCCCACCTAATGACTTTGTATTAAAATTTTAGAGTAAGCAGTTTAAGCAGTCCATTTCAAGCAAAGCTATAACGTCGGAGTGTGCATCGACTGAATTGTCCGTTGAGCCACTTGTGCCACCAGCCCTTTGCTCCACCCAAATCCCAGTATCTTCTCCTATCCTGCTTCCATCAATTACTATAAAGCCGGTAACAGCAACCTCCTCTCCTTTTACCTTTACAAATATACGAAACTCACAAGCAGAGCCTACGTCAGCAGATATTACCTCTTCTGGCCTCCAAAGTGAGTTGATTCGGAATATCAATAGCAAGAGCAAGGACGAAGAGGAGGTCTCTATTAGGACACACAATGGGGTTTCCGATATTGCATATACGAATTCTACGATCAAGCCATTGTCAGAACTGAAAGAAACGCCAAACATTTCAAACTTCACAAGCACATATACTAAAACTGCTACTAAAACCAACTCCTGCAAGCCAGGCGCCCCCACATCCTTTGCGTATACGGAATCAAATAAGGCTGTTTTCAGGGAACAGGTAACCTCTAGGCTCCACTCACCTCCGACTAGTTCAGTCAGAGCAATAGGAATCAGATTTCTTAACCAAAGTAATACTGGTGTTCCAGATAGCAATGTTCATGTAAGTACAATATCGAGCCCGGAGTTTGATCAGTCACTAAATATGCCTACTGGCTCAAAGGGGGCCAAATGCCAAAATAAATTATTCGGGCAGCAAAAATCATCAAAATATTTTAAGCCATTTTCATTTACTGGAACAAAAACCAGTGAATTCGCTACGCCAGATATCCTGCAGAATAGATAATCTGAAAACCCAAATCCAGTGAATATTCATTTACTGATTCGCCCTCCAAAATGTGTATATTTAATTTCGACTATCAATTGTTACTTTGAGTAGGATGTATGTATATCGTGTAAATTTTAATTATACAATGTACCTAGTAATTTTGTTTGTTTATAAATTTTTCACTCGCGATAATGTAGCCTTGAATTAACAGTCATCTTTAACACATAAAACATATTTACATTTTATTTTATTTTATTTTGTGTGCATATAAGCGCCTATATTATTTCCCTTCAACTTTCAACTCAATGATGGTAATTATATTTCTGAGTCGCAACATTGTGATCCTATATAGATTAACTTGACTTAAACCCTTGTAATTTGACCGTGCTGTAAGGATTTCCTTGAAGAATGTGCATTTTCCAGCGTCTTCTGCCATTGTAGTCATGATGATTTTCTGCGCCATTCCTTTAATTTTATACACTACCAAACTTTCCAAGGCTCTTGCGCTGCTAGCATCGCGTGTCATTAGGACATGCTTAACTTGGTTTTGAAGGACATAAATCCGAACTAAAACTTGGGTTCCTATAAACCTACAATTTATTTAAGTTCATTTCTTATGATGGCCAATATAGTATTCTTATATTTTTGTTGCTCTTGCTTGCTCTATACAGCCTTTTACTCATCCTTATTTATTAGGTGTTAACTAATCCAAGTAAATATTATTTAACCTGACTTAGGGTCCCCTTAAATTCTTTCATTTCCTGATATAGATACTTTTATCAACTTAGTACAAATCTCATATTTCTTTAAGTTAAAGCCGCCTACGATTTACCCATAGATGTGATTGGTAAAGGAATTAGACTAGCATGGAATAACTGTCCCTTAATATTTTTTT